AAAAAAAAAAAAAAAATTACTCTTGATCCTTACCTTAATACTAAAACCCCAAATGAATCACAGACTTAAATATAAAGAGCCTAAAACTTCTAAAAGTACATCTAGCAGAAAATCTTAGTGACCCTAGGCTTGGCAAAGATTTTAGGTACAACACACAAAGCATAAACTAAAAAAGGGGGGGGATCGATAAGCTGGATTTCATAATGATCTACAGTCTGTGCTCTTTCCCATACATATTTTCAAAAAAAATAATAAAAATTAAATAAAAACCAAAAAAAAAAAAAACACAAGAAATGAGTGGAGAGAAGACAACACAATCAACCACACTGACATTTCATCCCATCATTTAGAAAAAAAAAAAACATCTCAAATACATCTATCTTGCAAGGAGAGAAACAAAGCCAGTGGTGGCTGAGTGGGGGTTGGAACAGGGTCAGGGTTTTCATTGAAGAGAGAATCTTGGGCTCTCCTCCCATAACTACTGTTAATTCACCACACAGACATGGAGGAAAATATATTCAACATAAGAGCAAATAAAAGACACCTTGGTCCTGGATCCTTTTCTCTCCAATATCCTTTACTTATTTCCTCTTCTTCTGGTTCCTTCCTTATTTTTAAATTTTCTCCCTTCCATTCTCCTTATTCTTCCAGGCTTCTCTTTTTGCTTACTGCAGCCACAACGTCATTATCATATGCCCTTTTTCTCTTCTCTTAAAAGTCTCCAAAATAAGAAAAGGAATTAAAATACACACACACACACACACACACACACACACACACACACACACACACACACACAAAACAGCACAGGTTTTTTAAGTATCTGAAATGTCCTTATACTGGGGGAGGGACAACATACAATCTCTATTACTTCTCACTACTCCTGCTTATACATCATTGGTATAATATAGGCCACAGCATAAATATTATAATGACACTTTCTCCCTCTCCTGAGCAAGGCAGCTAGCAATTTGTAAAGTCAGTATTTACTAGCTATCTGGTATGCTAACAATCAAGACCAGTACTTCTTATTCATTCCAGTACAAGTTTAACTACCCCTTTTCAACACTAAATAAAAGTAAAAACAAAAAAACATGCAAACGAAAAGTAATGATCCTTTTAGTATCTGTTCCCTGAGAAAATGCAAACCTATATGGCACGTTTATCTAGTTCTTAACTTTTAATTGATTGTGAACTTTACTCACCTCAGAGACTCCTCACACTCAGGCCTCCCTGGGTTCAGCCTATGTGGATTGGGAATCATAGCTCCCAGCACTCTGGCTCAACTATTCTTTACTGATTAAGAATTGTACAATATTGCTACCTGAGTAACAATTTTGTTACTGGAGAAGTAGCAATGGAGTTCAACAAAAATTTTAGTACAGCAAAATGCCTCTGTTCACCCAGGATCTTTCTGGGATGACTTGTCAAAGAGTCCCCCCAACAGCCATTCCTTCTATACATGTACGTACACACATTCATATTCTCATTCTCTCTACATCTCCTCCCTTCCTCCCTTCTCTCTACAAAGCACTTAGAACTGGTATCTGGACTGTTTAACAAATGATTACTATCTTTTTCTCTAGCTATTATGGTTGTTACTACTCCTCTTCCCCACCCACTCTACCCCACAATCCCAGAAGTGCTATAGTTAAGAAAGGGCAAGAAAAAGAAAGAATAACTTGAAAACCTAGTTTTTCAATTAAATATTCAGTTTATTTTATTACATTAAATGGGAGTAGACCAGAAGTAAAACTGTGCCTGGCACCATCTCTACCATGTTTAAGATGAGTACATCCATTCATTCAACAAGAACTCAACTAAAAAAAGAAAATACTTGTAGTATGATTTACTCTTAAAATCTCTTGCAGCAGCTATGTCTTCCTCTAAACTAGCCATAAGACATATCATTTTTTATCAGGCATCTTTTTTTTTTAACTCATTCAATAAATGTTCTCTGTGCTTAACTGAAAAAAATACAAAACCAAAAAATAAACTGTAACTTTTTGTAACCTCATTCGTTTTGGTCTTTGGTCTTGTGAGTTAGCCATTCTATGGACCTCCACTGTTTTATTAAAGGTAAGAAAATAATTTCAAATTTCAAGGTGGCCTTGAGATCTGTTAGGATAACATATTTTCTAATTTAGCCCCAAACAACCTTCAAAATTCCCTTACAATTTTACTCCAAATCATATTTGTATTTTTCAACAAAGGAATCGTAAGACTCTACAAAACTAAATTAGGTTTATTTTTGGTTTTGCTTTTTCTATTTTACAAAATTGTCTGAACAGAAATAATTCAACCAGTATCAGCTCTCACAAGACTAGCAATTTCCTTTTACTGGGTTAAAAATATGAGATGGAGGGCCGGCCCCGTGGCTCACTCAGGAGAGTGCGGCGCTGGGAGCGCCGAGGCCACGGGTTCGGATCCTATATGGGATGGCCGGTGCACTCACTGGCTGAGCATGGTGCGGACCACACCGTGCCGAGGTTTGCGATCCCCTTACCATTCAAAAATATATATATATACATATATGAGATGGAAAAACTATTAGAAACATCATATCACAATTTCTCTATTACATTTTGTATCTAGAAGTACTGTTTCTCCACTCAATTCCCTGAAATACTGAAAGATCATTCTATACAGCAGGAAGAAAATCAGTTGCGGTGAATGACAACTTTGGTTTCTCACAACCAAGTAGCTTCTCCTCTCTTTAAGGAAAGAGGCAGGGTTTCTTCATTCTTCCTATCAGCAGATACATGGGAACACTGACTGTATGTAAATTCCAAATATCTTAAAGACTTAGACCACCATGACTCAAACCACTAACTTTCATTAAAGGAAAAAAAGTCAAAGCAAAGACTTCCAAAATGTAGGTGACTGGTGAATTGAAGAATGTGATAGTAATGCTACGTGATACTATAAGGTATTAAATTCCTGGACAGTATATACTGTTACCAGGCCATGATTTTTTTTTTAAACTTCAGATTCTTATTTTTCAAGTTCTTTCAAACAAATTAAAAAGACAAATGATTTGACTCTTCATTACCGTATGACTTTTAATAAAGAAGAGGGAAAAAACCAGTATCTTCTATTTTTAATATACTTCCATTAATGAAATAAAACTATGTTTGCAAACTGCTGGCTGATCCATAAGCTACATTTGTAACTCATTAAGTCAGGATATCAAAACTGCCAAACATATCTCGAAGCACCCCCCAAAATAATAATAAACAAATAAAACAGTCTCTGGTAAAACCATGTATAAAGTTATCATAAGCACAGTGGCTGACTGCTAAACTCTAAAATCATGACCACATGTCCTCCCTTTCCTTCAAATAACCAGAAGAGTCTAAATAAATAACTAATGAACAAATAAAATCACCAAAATTGTTTTAGTATATCTTTCCTTACAGAATATATTTTAACCAGAAAAATCTCACCCATTCCTAACTTGTTTCTCAATAATATTCATCCACTCTGTTTAACCCTCAATTTATCAACACAGAATTTGTGATACTCCAAAAAGCTAACATAATTATTACTGTCATCTCATTAAGTATGTTCTTCCTAATACCGAACTCTAATATTATAGTTGACATCTGGACCATTCACTATTTACACCACCACCCTCCTCTCCCCTTCCCATCACCACCATTTTACTGGCAGAATATTCACAAGCTGAAGACTGTTTTTCATCTCGGCAAACAGAATGCTTAAAATCAAATGGCTAACCACAAACCAGAAGTTAGAGGCTACATAAAAATAAACACAAACGGTCCCAAATTCTTCTAGTTTCAATCTCTAAGGAAAGCTGTAACATATCTTTATTTGTAATGCCCTAAGTTATAGCCAGAAGCTTTTCACCTAATTATACTAATAAATCAACTTAACATGATCATTTTGCCATCAGATCATGTCCTTCATATACTAGTGTACTTAATAAAATCCATTTTATCATGGTAGTTTCATCAACTCATATTTTTTCAGTGTTTTTCTTTATCTTTCCTTAACTACAAAATTCATATAATATTTTCCTAAATATTAAATATATGAACAAAAAAGATAACCCTGGAAACCAACCCCCCCAAAAGATAAATCAACATACCTTAAGTAGAAAATGTTAACATTAAGTATAAATTACTAGGTAACCAAGGAAAGGTAAGTAACAGCTATATGTTTAAGAACCTCAATTTGGAATATGTAGTATACACAATTTTGGTAAACAGAAGTGGACACAATATCTACAAATCAAAATAGGCAACTGTAGCCTCATTTCTGACTTTAGATAAAAATATCTTAATTCTGTTTATTAAGGCAAAATAGTCATTTTAATAAAATATCTTCTTACAGGTATAATCATATGATTGACAGATAGAATAATTGCTTTAAAAATACTTCTGAGTCATTTTGTCCTTACCTGCAGGCATGAACCATTACTGCATGCAGTGACTGTTCCATTTCCTAGCACAGACTTGAAGAAGCATCATATCTCTCTTTCAGAACGTGACTAATCTGTGGGTTTGCAATTCCTAAGCTATTTACAAATGGCACTCCCTTTCTCATAAGAAAATACTTATTACAACCAAAAATCGAGTATTTTTAACCTAGACCTTACAAATAACCTTGGTAATTCTGTGTAGCAGTAACCTCAAAATATAAAAATTTAACAGTAGTATTTCCTTAAAGCAAGATTTTTGTTTGTTTTTTGGCTCAATTATTTTTTAAAGCTTTCAGCAGCTGTCACACATGAACCAGCGATCTGCTGTGTTATGCTGTGCATGCTGCAGCTGATTAGGTTTCACTATTTTTTAAAAAATCAATTACCCTTCGCAAAAGCAGAACAGCTTGCCCAAATACACATCTTCAATACAGCACAATACCAGCATGCAGAACAATACGTTATACAGCAAACTTGAGAGGAAAAAAAATATGTCCTGGTTTGTTTCTTAGCAATGCTACACCATTAATTGTTCATGCAAGAGATGTAGCTGTACCTTTCTGAAGAGGACGACTTCTCAGAGTTAACTGACATCAGCAGCTCAATCTTCTGCTTGATTTCTGGAAAAATCAGAAAATATTCACAACCAAGATTGCCTGCCCTTGCTTTCAAGCCTTATATCAAGAGATTTTTCTTCTCTAATCCCTTTTGTTCAGAATGAGGCCACAAGATTCGCAGTACTTCTGTTAGGACTGGGATTCAATGGTGCTATAAAGGGAAAAAGCTCCAGAGGCATCAGGCCTTGCTAAACTATGCACATGACTGTTTATGAAAGCAGGAAGTACCATTTCTTTTAAGCAGAGGGGTGTTTTCTTTTTTAAGGTAGAACTAGCATGGCTCTACAAGAAGATTTTAAATTCAGCAAATTAAAATACAAATGAAAAATGCTAATGTCTGAATTCAATATACTAGATAATTCGAGAAGCCTCAATAATTATGTTACAGGCTATAATGAACAGATATGCAACCCTTAGCTGCTTCTATTTCACTAGCCCTAAAAAATATGGCTCAGTGAATCATTTTTGTCACTTAAGAATGAAATATTAAGCCAGAACCCCAATTTATGGATTAACATTTTTTAACCTTTGTTATAATTTCTTGATTATTTTCATTAATGATATATTTAGTATCTAGTCCCTAACTCCTTTTAAAATATACTTATTTTATACCTTAATTTTCCCCTCCTCCTTCGCAGTACAGTACAAGTGAACAGCAACACCCAGTTATCGAGCAGAGATAATATACTTGGTCCTTTTAGGAAAGGACTGACAATGCCATATACCACAGATATAAGCACCAGTTCAATTTAATTAAAAGATAATTGCTGATGCTGATTTGGAAAGGATATAACAGACTAAAAGGGAAGAAAGAGTGAAAATAAGAGTGAGAGGCAGAAAATTAAAAAAAAAAAAAAACCCTAACATTTCCTTTAAAATACCAATGACTGACCTAAAGCACATAATTTTAAGTGAATAAAATTGACTTGGTCCTCTTACCCAGACTATTCCACATGTAAAGCTGTTTTCCTATTCCTAACAAGTATTTCCAACTGAATTTTAAAAATTAAAGTATGCTTTCTTAATAAAAAGTTCACATACTAAAAACAAACAGTACCACTCAATGCTATAAACACTCTCAGGATTTCAATGTAGACCTCGATAGTTTTGTTTCTTATTTTTTAGGGGTAAAACAAATTTTAATTTTTAGAAATGTTGATTACTGAAATCAAAGTGAAGTAGAATATGAAAAGATGTGAAGGAAAAGGAATAAAAATCAGTTGCATAAAATACAGCAGACCTGTACAGAAATAGCCTCTCAATGTTGTTAAAATAAAGGTTTTCCCAAATTGTTTAAGCTTATGACCAAGGGGCATTATAAAACCAGCATGAATATCTGATGAAAGAACAGAATCTACCACAGGCCATGGCCAAACTGCCTAACCACTGGAGAGAGCACTGAGCACAGTGGCTACATGGGATGACAATGAGGAAACTTACCTTGAGGATTCTTCAGTGGATCACAGAGCCGGGCACACGGTGCCACATTGAACACTCAGTAATGTCCTCCCCCACCCCACTCCAGATTTTTAAAAAGTGAAGGCACTGCCTTGGATTTAAAAGCAGGCTCCTCCATCATCTTTAATAGTCATAAGACGTTGGGGGAAATTACTTAAACTCTCTAAAGCCTCTATCTCCTCTCCTGTAAAATGGGGAGAATAATTCCTACTTGAAACAGGATGTTGTGAGGATTTAATAAAATAATCTATGGAAGTCAAGGAGTATTGTGCTTGGCATGTGGTAAGCCCTCCCTGCCTACTGCTACATAGTGCCTAGCAAAAGACAGTAATCCCTCAATAAATATCTACTGAATGAGTTAACGAAATATACAAGATCTGTCCAATTTTAAACAGCTTTTCCACAGTTTATATCCACCTTCTCCCTCATGAACCTCAACATCCACCTTTCTATCACTACAGTGTTTTCTAGAGATTTATTCTCAGTTTATCAACTAGCTGCTTCAGAAATGAGACAACATTTGAATCCATCTTCCTGACAAGTTTTTAGTCCAAAAAGAAAGTTCACACTTCAATATATCTACATAAAATGAGTGCACTTAAGATAAAAATGCCCAAGATTAAACTACGCAGCTCTAATGAAGCTCATTCCCATCTTGTAAACACTGCAAAGAAAAGTTCAAGCTATAAACCATTTTCTGACTGGTAACCTTGGGAGCTCCAAACCAAACAGGATTCTAATAACACATGGAAGGTTTTCCAACATCATTTTCACATTTTTTCCAAACCTTCAGATTTGTTAATAGCTCCAGAGGAATAAAAGGCTCAGGAATATTCATAAATACTATGTTTCTATTGTATCCTTTGAGGCCCAGGTATTTCATCTATGCTACTGTCTACTCCTTCTTAACCATACCATCCATGGCTCTCCCCACATTAATTAAGAATTCCAGAAGCCATTTCATTGACTTCCATTCCACCACAACACCTGCCATAATCCTGGGGGACTTTGATGTCCATACTGATAGGACCTCATAAAACCCTTGCCTAAGGACCTTGGCCTCCTTAATCCATACTCTCTTGAACCTGAGTCATATTCTCCCATGACCACACTTAGGATACTCTCTTTTACACACTATAAATATTTTCTCCCAATCAGTGAGTTGTTTTTAAATTTTATTCAGTTACTTCAGGGTAGCAGTACACTTTATTTTTCTGCAATTAAGTCAACCAATCTTTTCTTTTATAAATTCTGATCTTCTTGTTCAGCACAAAAAGGCCTTCCCCACACCAAAATTTTTTAAATCTTCATCTTATTTTCCTGTAATATGCTTCATAATAGTATTCTGCATGTAGATCTTGGACTCTCCTAGAATTTATTTTGGTCTATGAATGATATAGAGATCGAGACTGCTTTTATAAGTCACATTTTAAAACTCTACATCCAGAGCTGTGTGGCAATTAAGATGGTGGAATAGATGGTCTCCAGTGTCACTCCCCCCATAATCAACCAATTTATAGCTATTAAAAAGCAAAGACTGCCAACGGGGACCACTGGAGCTCCAGGGAAGAGGAAGACAGACCCACGGAGTTTGTGAACGTGGGAGAAGCCACAGCGAGAGGAAGAAGAAACTGTTCCAACCTTTTCAAGTCCTGGCCGCTTCAGGGTCAGCACTGTGAAAGGCAGAAAGAAGCTACAGCACACAGAGCAGGAGCCAGCAAAAGCTGCAGCTCAGCCCTTTGCGTGAAGTTCCCTGGAGTCTGCAGGGGAGAAGAGGGCCTCAGAGCACTCCATATCAACCTCCAGGCCAGCGAGTTCTGACAGGGTTCCAACACTGACAGGGTTCCCGAGGACCCACACAGGAGTGAGGGCCTCAGCCCACCAAAGAAAGGAACCACCCAGAAGCTGGTGAGTCATCACTGGGGACTCATGAATGGCCCACCTTATGGGAAGGATTTAGAGTATGAGAGGGAAACTGGCCCACCAGGAAACCAACTAGGGTGCAGTGTGGACAGCTGATCTGCCTTCCAATCCACACAGGCCCACTCAGTGGAGACTGGTCAGGGCAACAGAACTGCAGGGGGCACAGTGTGCTGGCAAGACTCAGTGCAGGGCCAGAATTTCCATACAGCCCTGGTGTATCTCACAACACCTGGAATCAATTAAAGGGCCAATCATTAAAATCCAGTTTGCACAAAAAAACCTTCCCCAGAGAATGAGTAGCAAACACAGAGCTCAAGTGCTGGTCCCCACAGGAAGCTCTCCCAATTTCAGAATTAACCAAAACCACAGACCAGAGACAAAGCTTAGATATTAACCAGTAAGGTATTAACAGCACCAAAGAACACCTATAAAACCTAAAAGAGGTAGCAGTCTCCTCAAATGCTCAAGCATCAACATAAAGATACAAAGATCAAGAAAGAACAGAGAAATATGGCACCAACAAAAAAAAAAACAAATGAAGTACCAGCAACAGACCTACAGGAGCAGCAGATTTATGAAATATCTGACAGACAATTCAGAATAATCCTCTTAAGGATGTTCAGGGATTTACAAGAAAATACAGATAGAAAATTAAATGACATCTGGAAAATAATCCAGAAGAATTGGAAACTTTACAAAGGAACTGAATCAATCAAAAAAAAAAAAAAAAAAAACACATAAAACCCAACAACAAATAGAAATTCTAGAAATAAAGAATACTGAAGAACTGAAAACCTTGACAGAAACCTCCAACAGCAGACTTAATCAAACAGGAAAAGATCAGTGAGCTCAAAGATAAAATACATGAAATTATCAAATCAGAGGAGCAAAAAGAAAAAAGAACAAGAAAAATTGAAAAGAATACAGCAAGTATAGGACTCCCTCAAGTGAAATAACTGCTGCATAACTGGCATAAGCCAGAAGAAGAGGAAAAGGGAAGAGACATAGAAAGCATATTCAAGAAAATAATGGCTGAAAATTTCCCAAATATGGAGAAAGACGACAGCATCCAGGGACAGGAAGCTCAGAGGCTGCCAGTCAAATTCCCTCCAAGGAGGAACACCTCAAGGCACATCATAATCAAATTACCAAAAACCAAAGACAAAGAGAGAACACTGAAAGCAGCAAGAGGAAAGAAACACATAACATTCAACAGAACCCCAATATGTCTCTCCGCAGATTTCTCAGTAGAAACCCTACAGGACAGAACAGAATGGGATGATATATACAAGGTGCTGAAGGAAAAAGACTGTCAGCCAAGAATTCTGTATCCAGCAAAACTAACCTTCAAATATGAAGGAGAAATAGTCATTCCCACACAAATAAAAGCTAGTGTTTCATCAACACTAGACCTGAATTACAAGCAAAGCTAAAGCGAGTGCCTAAATCTGAAAGATGATGATGCTAAAGAGCAGCAAGAAAACATTTGAGGGTACATAATTCATTAGTAAAGAAATTTCACAGACAACCTCAGAATACTCCAATGTCGTAAGGATGGTGAATAAACCTCTTACATCTTTATTATGAAGACTGAAGGACAAACCTAACAAGACACTAACATATACAACAGCCATCGAAGAGATAGACAATATTAAAAGATGTGACTTAAAACCACAAACTGTCAAAAACTGGGGGAATGATGCCAAAACATACAGTTGGCTTTGGGGTTTTTTTTCTTAGATATCAAAATTGTTATTAGAATAAAATA